AGACGATTCTTCAATCGCACAAGGCGAATATCATGGTCAGTGGCGTTTCTTGGGAGGGGGGGAGGCCAAGGTTATCTGGGGCCCAAGAAAGGCCAAAGGAATCCCACAGTGCATGCGATGCCAACAATATGATCATACAAGATCATATTGTAACAAACTGTAAGTATGTGTAAAATGTGGTGGGTCGCACAGTACACAGAGCTACAAAAAATCTAAAAACACACCTGCAAAATGTGCATTCTGTGGAGGTGCACATCCAGCTAATTACAGAGAATGTGAATATTATCACAGTTTATTGAAACAACCAAATAACACTAACAATAGACTAAACATTCAACACAACGCACTAACCCAAAGTCAACCAGCTCAGTTACAACCAGGAATCAGTTATTCAGAAGCCCTTAAAGGGAAGAGAAACCAAGAACCAAACATCACATACCCAGGAGAAGCAAGGGAAAATACTAACAACAACCCAAATACAACTAATTTGTTAACCAAATTTCTTGAAGAATTTAAAACCCAACAAAACAGAATGACATTAAACATGCTATCAACGTTAATATCTAAAATCCATTAAATTCCTTAGAATTGCACTGTGGAACGCCAACGACCTTCTGCAGCAAAAAAATGAACTAGAGATATTCCTTCAACACAACTTCATAGACATAATGCTGATAAGTGAAACTCATTTAACTAATAGATCCTACTTCAATATACCGAAGTTCTTAACATACTCTACTAATCATCCCGACACTACAGCACATGGAGGAACTGCAATATTAATAAAAAGGGCTATTAACCATTATGAGCTCCCAAAGTTCAAATTAAATCACCTACAGGCCACAGTGATGAAAGTAAAGATGACCCAATACGAGTTAACTCTTGCTGCAGTTTACTGTCCACCAAAACATATCATCAAACAAGAGAATTTTAATGATTTCTTTCAAATGCTGGGACACAAATTTGTAGCAGGCGGAGATTATAATAGAAAGAACACCTTATGGGGATCTCACCTAAAAACGACCAGAGGCAGAGAATTATCAAAAACATTACAACAGCAAAAATATTCGCACCTGTCAACTGGCACGCCAATATACTGGGCAACAGATCCCAACAAAACCCCTGACCTCTTGACTTCTTCGTTACTAATGGAATTTCCTCAAAATACATGGATGTGGTACCCAGTTTCGATCTCTCTTCAGATCACACACCAATTACAGCCACTGTCAGTAGTCATGCTATTTACAAAACACCAAGAAGTAAAATGCACAATAAAAAAAAACAAACTGGGGAGAATACAGGATGACACTACAAGAAGATATAAATCTAAATGTGAGACTCAAGAGCCCAATGGAACTCGACAGTGCACTAACCGCTCTAATCAACACTATAAAACAGGCAACCCAAGATGCTACACCTAAGATCACCTTCCAAAATAACACAAGGAATGTTTCAATCGAAATTAAAAACTCATAGCTGAGAAAAGAAGAGCAAGAGCAAGGTGGCATAGAAGTCAAGCACCAATAGATAAAACAACATAGAACCATATAAGTAATAGGCAAAGTGTAAAATTAAAGAGGCAAGAGAAATATCCTTCTCTAACTATATAACCAGCCTCAACAGCTATGACAATACCATCTGGAAACCCATCAAACATTTAAAAAACCCAAGACACAGATACATCCTATAAGAAATGAAATGGTGCCGCAAACATTGTGGGCAAGAAGTGATGAAGAAAAAGGAGGTATGTTGGCTGAATATCTTGCTACAGTTTTTACACCATATGATGACCAGATCGATAAAGAAATAGACAAATATCTGAAAATATCAGCATTACACCAGAAATAAAATTTTTTAGTTAAAAAAGTGCAAAACGAAATAGCACTCATAAATTCAAGAAAAACACCTGGCATTGACGAAGTGACTCCAATAATGTTAAAAGAAATGTCAAGAAAATGGTTAGTACTTCTCACATATATATTTAATGCTATTCTCAAACATAAATACTGGCCAAATAAGCTAAAAACAGCAGAAATAATCCTGATCCTCAAACCAGGCAAAAATCCTAATAGTATGTCATCCTATCGTCCTACAAGTTACCCATCATATCTAAGCTCCTCGAAAGACTTCTCTTAAAAAGAATAAGGTCTGATCCAAATACAGAAGAATGGATACCATCACATCAATTTGGTTTTAGAGAAAACCACTTCACTGTACAGCAGATACATTGAATAACACGCAAAATACACCAAGCAATAGAAAATAAAGAATACTGCACATCATTCTTCCTAGATGCAAGTCAAGCCTTTGATAAGGTATGGTATCCAGGACTACAGTACAAAATCAAAAAATACCTGCCCATCACTAATTTCCACTTACTAAAATCCTATATAAGTGGCAGAGAGTTCAGAATGAGAATCAATGATAGCATATCCAACAAGTCTGCAATAAAATCAGGCATACCACAAGGCAGTGTCTTAGGCCCACTACTGTATTTACTGTAAACAGCAGACCTACCAGTCAATGCCAACACAACATTGGGCACGTTTGCAGATGATACCGTGATCCTCTCGGCCAACACAGATCCAGCAATATCTACCTTCACTTTGCAAAATTATCTAAATCAAATACAAGAGTGGACAAATACATGGAAAATAAAAATCAACGAAACCAAGTCAGTGCAAGTAAACTTCAGTCTAAGAAGAGAACAATGTCCTGCAGTCTTCTTTAACCTTTATCCTACGGCCCTTTAAACTTAGGTTGTGGCAACGGTACGGAGTTCTTTAAATGGCCGCTATTTGAGATTCGTGAAAATTGTAGTCACTTACTAATTTTGCTCCTATTTCTGCTATTTCTGTGATAATCGAACGAAATAAACGCTGTTTTTTTCTCGAAAGAATATAGAATCAGATATTGTAATTTACAGATTGTATAAAACATGTTAAAATTTTTGCACTGACACCAAAGGAGAATTTTCGCAATTTCTTGTTTCTGAGCAAGAATTCATACGTTCTGGACACCCCTGAATGGAAGTTGCTGATGACGACACTTGTGCATGTCACGGTAACACCGGATGTTGAGTCTAGAGACGTTATCGCAGTCTATGTGACGAGCTTCAACTTGAATGTGGTCAGTGGAAGAGAGATATAAACTCACGTGTTGTTTATAGATCTCTCCTGAACAATACGTATACTGTTCTTCTACAGTTCCATGCTAGCATTCTTTATGCATGCGTTGTCGTTGCCGTACTAACACAGCGTAATAGCTTAGTGGCTGGACGTGTTCAGTCGAGAGTAATTTCAAATTTCGTTCGTAACATGTGGTCCGTGTCGTTTGGGATATTCTGACATATTGCAGCTAATCAATGCCTCCGATACAGAATCCTGTACCGACAATTCTGAGAGTGACGTTGAAGGTAGCAAATCATAAAGTGATTTCGAAGAAGACCCATAATCTTCGTCGGCAACCTGGGGAGCACGACACCAGCGTGGCACGAGGAGTGTGAATAATTATTCAGATGGAGCTGTGGGCAAACTGTGGCAAACAGTTATAGCATCTGTCGTCGAACCTGGAAATGGACAAATAAGCTATTTCTCCATCTCCTTGGTCTGAACAGTTACATCCTGTTGTCACACAGAGAATTTCGTCTCGCTCTTGTGCGGAACATGCTGTTAGGGGTCCCCCTCGCCATCAACGGCCAGGGGTCGAACCCCTGCCGTTTTATGGGAGATATCTCGACTATAGAAGGCCAAACCACATCACTGGCCGACTTGCTATACTTCGCAATTGAGGTGTCGTGTGTGCTTTTCGCGTGGGAAACGAAAGACCGTCCGCACAAAGTTCGCGAAGTGCGAAATCGGACTCTGCATTTCCGGATTTTTTTGAGAATTCCACACGAAGGCAACATTCCGGCAGATGACGCAGGCGGGAAGACAGACACTCCATGCAGATGGTGGCCAAAAATTATGTAAGTAGGACATAATTTTCTACTTTAAAATTTAATTTTATATAACGTTGCCACGCGCGGACTCTGCGACATCATATGTCGTCATTCGTACCGGGGACATTCTTTTAACGACGACATACGTTGTCTTTAGTCGTTTAAAGGTTAATAACATACATGTACCTGAATCACCCAGCACAAAATACTTACGTATTCATCTAGGCAAGCATCTAACCTGTAGGAACACATTACTAAAAAAAGCAAACAGATTGATTTAAAAATCAAGGATATGCATTGGTTAATTGGAAGAAAGTCCAACCTCTCATTAGACAACAAGGTTTTGCTTTACATAACAATAATAAAAGCAATTTGGGTATATGGAGTGGAAATATGGGGATGTGCTAGCAAAACCTATATAACCATAATCCAGAGATGTCAGTCAAAGATACTACGTATGATTACTAATGCCCCATGATATGTTTCCAATATAACACTCCATGAAGACCTGAAAGTGCAGCTAGTGAAGGACGTTATAAAAGAGAAAAGCACAAGATATCTGAACAAAATAGACGGACGTGACAACGTACTAATTCAACCGTTACTGGAACCACACAATGAACGAAGACTGAAAAGGAATTGGCCAGCCAACCTGAGAGAGGGTTAACGAGGACTTATCTCTGGATAAGCCCTCTCTACGTCACAAAGAATAATACAGCAAATTAGCTTATAGAATCAAATGTAATTCTCATTGCTAATATTATGTAAATAAAAAAAAATGTTTTCTTGCCCTTGGCACCAGTTGAAGGTGACTGGTCAACTTCACACCCCAGTCACTTTACCCCCAAGGAAAGAGCCCTCACTACACACTGTACAGGAGGCTGGGAGGGACCCAGAGCCAGTCTGGATGATGTGGAGAGAGAAAATTCTTGACCCTACCAGGGCTTGAACTCCAACCCCTCGGCTGTCCAGCTCATATCTAGCCACTATAGTGACTACGCTATCCCAGCTACTTTAAACATGTGCAAGGAAAGAAAATCATATCTGGAACAACACAGTATGAGATTCTGTTTGCACAATGGCAAACTTTAATCTGACAGACTGTTGTGTGAAAAGGGCAAAAGAGTGGAAAACATAATCCATTTCACTTATAATAAATGTCGGTATGTACAGTACACTCAGATCGTTTGTCTTTGTTCCACAGAGATTTAGAAGAGATATCATATATCATATACTTGTCACTTGAGATACACACACTTCTTCACACGTTTCAGTTTCTGGCATCACCGTAAGACATACACTGTCTCTTAACAACAGTAACTCACATGAAGCACACAGCTGAAATTAAAACACAAGCTACCAAGAGTAATCTACTTCCTACTACATTCAAAAATAGTTGTACAAATAGAATAAACAAGTTGAACACTTTTTTTTTACAAGAACAGTTTAGGGTGGACTAGGTTTTACTTTGAACACAAAATGCATTATCACTATGTTTCCAAATTAATTACGTACAACTATGTATGGCCAATGCTTTCATTCCACAGACTTGCAAGTAAAGGGAGGAACAGGAACTAGCATTGTACCCACTGCTGGCATCTCGTGTTTCAAACAAGACATGCAGATTTGTTTCCCTAGAACAGACTTCAATATGCACTACACAAACGATACCCCAACGGCAATACACTTGCACTTGTGTTTATATTCTCCCGTTACTTCTTCACAAGACCTCCTATCCTACTGATCTTTGGTTTTGATGGGAGGAGGTGGTTGTTATTATTCTGGTTCAACACCTGCAAGTCCTTCTGTTCCTTCACTGTCTGCTCCTTGGCACCCCTACAAACAAACAAACAAACAAACAAAGTAACAAAAATGATACAAGTCTTTATGCTCTCACAGAGGTGGTAATGAAGAGGACTGCTTTCTGAGATATTCTGGTAGATATTTACTGATATTTCAGAAAAATGTGCTACCTCCATTTTCAGGACGGAAGAATATGTTGAGAACAGAGAGAAATTAGATGGGTATAGTGAAATGGAAGGGCGGGATATGAGCCCAGCATGAACAAACAAGAATACAGAGTTTAAGCCCTTCTAAGGACCACAGAATTTTTTTCACACTTTCTCCTCACTCTTATTGGTTCGTTCAGGGCCCCTATATCCCAGATGCTTTCTTCCTACATCTCTACCACATTCTTCCTTGTTCAGCTTATCATTATAGCCTGAAGATGGAGTCAGCACATTCCTCCAGAACGCTGGTAAGTTCTGCCAGACTACATAGTGTCACAGCTCAGAAGACAAACTTCAAGCAAGAAAACAACTGCAACCAATCAATGCTTGCACTGTGATTGAGAACTGTTACCACAGTAGGGCATTTTCAAGGATTCATATGTTTCAATCTTTCCCTGAAGATTTTCCCACTCTGTTGTGTGGCAAGGCTTGACAGTTCCGATGAATCTGAGAGCTGTGCAAGTAGAAGCACTCAAAGGAGAAGGGCCTGGCTAGGAAGAATATTTGATACTACAAGTTGGAGGCCGGCATCGCACAATGATGTACGTACTTCAAACTTCAGCAGAGTGAGTCACATGGTTTGTTATTTCTTGACGCTGTCAGTGCTGAGACTGTATGGTGATGATGGGATGAGTAATGAATGTGAAATAAGAACTGGCAGGGTAAATGTCCACCATAAATCCCACATTACCTGACCTGGGCTCGAACCTGGGCCGCTACCACGTGGAGCCAGTATGCTCATTCTTTTTTCCTTTCTCAGACAACCTATATATTAGTCTCTATCTCTGCCACCCCACGCCCCTCAGCAACATTTTAACGTGAGTTCATATCCTACTGCCTGTAACGCTCACATATTTCCAACAGTTTTTATAAAGGGACTACGATGTACAAACATGCACACCAATTACTTAGGATATGTGCAAACACTGTTTCTGAATCAAGCAACATCACCACCTAAATAATATTCATTGAATGCGGAAGAGCCTGTAGCTTTATATTCATTTGGAAAACAGAAATTCTCAGTCCTCTCACCCGTATCAAATTTTACGCTAATTCACATACTTACAGATATCGTGTAAGATCCTCTATATCAACCAACATAGAATCCTGCTCCATATGTAAATCATCTCGATCCATCAGGAATTTAACTAAGCCTTCGTTCAAAACTGAAAAAAAAAAGTATAATGTTATGTCGCTCATAAATAGCGAGCTGTACACTGCTACAAGTGATAAGATAATGGATGAACTTAATCCATAAAAAAGGCAAAGTTGTCCCCATACTCTGTGAACTAAGCTTCACACCATGAAGACATATATATGGGGCTGTGGTAGTACAGCTCCAATATTCCTATCCTGGCACTAGAAGGAGGTGTCTGATAAGCTTTACATCCCAATCATTTCATCCAGGGGAACTTATCTCCAATATCCACTTAACAGGGCTCTGGGTGAGCCCCAGCACTGATCTGAATGCTGGGGAGAAGACAAAATATCTTTCCCCTTCTGCAGAGTGAATTCGGTTCCCCCCGTTGTCCAGCCTGAAGCCTTGTCACAACTCTGTGGCTTTAATGTTTCAAAATTTGCACATAAACACGCATAAATGAAGCCACAGAGTCAGACAATTCATTACAACTATCCACATGATCACAATTTCCAAATTCCTCTTAGCAGTTTTACTTATGGAAACATACCTGATGCCTTGTATTACAGCTAAATACATATGTACACTGTACAACCAGCTAAATGACAGCTCTGAATAACTGGAAGTAACACTGAGAGTGCATCAAGCATTTAGTACAAGTGCACACCAATATAAACAAGGCAAATGGCTGGAAGAAAAAAATTCTCAGTTTCACTAAGTTTTTTAACCTTCCATCCAACTACAAAAAAAAAAAAAAGCTGCATTTGCTTTTATGAAAATTTCATTTAACTATTTCAGTGCTTAAATCAGTCCTGAAACAAAGGTAGACAAAAATTAACCATAACATTATAAAACCAATATCACTAATAGTCATAACTCAGTGCAATTGCAGTCTCCCAAATGGGATACATTATCAAGATTTAAAACCACACATTAATGTTTCATTCTCATAAACACATATACTTTTATGTCTTTTTTACTACGTTACTTCATGTCACTTGCATTACTTCATAATTGCCCTGTACAACAGCAAGTAATAAATCATTCAAAAATATATTTCATACCTGGGAACTACATTACAAAACATGGAGAAATATTCTACCACCCACCCACCCATCCGTCCGTCCATGTTTATACTTGTTGGAGCATAAGACAACTGTGAAACGCTTCATTTCACTTTGATTCCATAATCTCAGACAGTTGGTAGGACACCTGAATGAGTGATTAGCCCATTGCACCTATACACAAACACATAATAAACGCACATAAACATCCTACCTTGATCGCAATTTGAACCAACAATCTTGGAGTTCAAGCGAGTGAGACATTTCATGACTTAGACCGCCCAACCACTGTGATCAGCCATAATACTATTTACTCTGGGAAATCTCCATTATCCAATTATCATATTGTTTGCTTTGACTGACTGGTACTGTAAATTATAACTCAATTTTTCAATGTGTGTCCTGAGGATAAGGTACAAAGATTCTGGCACGTGATGCCACGCAGTTTGAGAGTCTGATCTCAGAGGAGGGAAACAAGAGGTTCCCCTAAAAACACTGGTACCTATTAGGCAGACGATACGGCATGATATCCCAGATGACTGTCAATGTAATATTCACTGCCATGAGAACCTCAGGTCTCATGAAAGAAAGTACACTGTGACATGCATGCTCAAGTCTGCTCATTCATATTGGAACACTATAAACCTCTCCTATGGATGCTTGGAAAATCAGGCAGTAACATCTGTGCCATGTAATAAGTTGTCTGCTGGTTTCAGGATATTCTGACCACAAACAAACAGGACCCTCCAAACACTGCACATACATGTTTGGTTGGTTTCTAATGCCTCACTCTTGACATCTAAATCATTTGTGTCATTTGGACACTACTTTAGCAAGTTATTTTATCCAGTTATCCAAAGCACTTCAGTAGGGTTGGGTGATTACAAGTTGTTCCCACTCCTGTCTGCCAGACGTCTCCACAGTCATGCAACTGCAAAGAGCTTTGTGGGCAAGTGAAAATGGAGTCTAATGTGCCTTCACTCATTTCTTATCATGAGTTACAGGTTCTTTTGCATGCCATAAATACAGGACATGGAACCCCTGGCTTTACTTCTGTTCTAAAGAAAGTTGTGCTATGGAATTTTAATGACATGATTCTTTATGAAGCACTGTGACACAGCAACTGATTCACTCAATGGCTAAGCAAACACTGGGGAAGCGGCAGAGGGTCTGACAACAGCTCTCAACCTTCAAAAAATCTGGCCAATGACCTGCGTGGCAGGGTGCGCAATTGGTTCTTACTTTAAAAATGACCTATGTACAATACATGTCTACAACATCTGCTAAGGGAATGATGGTATGTAATTGTCAGTTAGTGATGTACATCAGTTAATGATGGCATCATTAGAAAGTTACTGGATTCTGTTTTCACCACACTTCAACATTCATACAACAATGGCAAATGTAAACATATAAATATTCTTCTACCGTAAAGTTGCACACACAGGTTACAATGCAGCAGCTTGCAGAGTAAATGGACTTTACTGCATCCTGTTCTAAATCAGGTCTCCGCTGTATGTAGATTCAACTCACTTTCTATTTGTGTATGTAGGTCATTAACTATGACTTGAAGTTGGGCAACATTCATTTCTGTAAGAATTTGCCTGCTAACACGTCTCCTGCCTTCAGGGAATGGGATTCCAACCTGAAAACAAGACAAAATTATTGCCTTCCACAGATATGAGTACACTGAATTAGGAGTCTATGCACCGCACTACAATGATGACCAGGGCCCGGATTTTGATGACCTGAAAATATTTAAAGAATGACCTATAAAATTACTGAAAAAAATTACTTAAAATATGACCCAAAAATGTAATATGCAGGGCCCGGATTTTGATGACCTGAAAATATTTAAAAAATGACCGAAAAAAAATCCAGAAAAATGACCTAAATGAGAAAGAGAAAGAACACTTCACTTCCATATTATTCACATTTCAGAAAACACATGAAGAAAAATTCCCTAAAAAGGCCAAAACTGACAAGAAATACCCTTAAAAGCACAAAAATTTACCAAAAAATTACCCCCAAAATGAAAAAAATTACCTTAAACCTAAAAATGTCAAAAAATGACAAAAAATTACCTATAAAATTTACATTTTTGTAACCAGCAGCTCATATCCGAGATTTATATATTTCAGAGCATCGCATAGGACACAAGGAAAAAAAGATAACATGTCAACAAAATCTGGGCCCCGATGATGACACATTTGGGTCCAGCGGGCTCCCTGCAGGCCTGGGATCAAATTTTTTTTACTATCCAGTAAAATTAGGGTTATTCCATTTCCATATATCCAGAATTCTCATCCAAACAGCAAAATCTTCAAAGAAAATTTACAATTTTTATAAAGATATTCATAAACAAATTTGCAATACACCACGTTCACCCACTAAACAACGGTTTTCCTATCTGCTATTAGTTGCCACAACTTCCTCACACAGGTGCCATTACAGTACATGCATTCAAAATCTTTCACACATCAACCCCTCTGTCACTTGTGAAGACTCATGTACAAAAACCAAAATAAAAATGGGTTGACTCAACTGTCAGAATCATATAAGCAGCACACCCCGTTCCCCACACGTCAGGTAACAGTGAGTTTACTGTAAATACTGTTACTGCCAAGTTAAAATCCGGCTGCCAACATCATCGTAGTAGAACACTGAAAGCCCATATTCTTGGACGAAGAAGGTAAAAAGCCTTATCAAATTACACCGACAATGGCTGCATCCTAGCCTCTCCTGACCTGGTAAGGGTAATGGTAAGTTCCACTTCTGACTGCAGGACACCCACACAATGGGATTCACCTCTGATGAAACAGGTGCAACACAAAGGTATTTACAGATTATATCCACACTGTGAATGTAACTGGCACTGCAGCATACAACTATTAAACAGTAACAATTAATTCAAGTGAACACATTTACTGAATGAATTCCTTGACAACAGCTATAAAGACAAATACGGGCAAGCAATGCAGAAAAAAAGCACAAGCAAATGAAATGTAAACGGATATTAAGACAAACACGATGATGACGACGATGGAGGAGGAGGAGGAGGAGGAAAGAGCACAATTAGGAACTGAATGACACAAATACAACTCGGAACCTGAACACAATATCCATATATCTGCAGACTACATTAACTGCAGGGTCTGAGGGACTAACCTCTGTGTCATGGTGAACATTACAAATAAAAGTCTCTCATTAACCTAGTGGTAAGAGTAAAGCAAATAACAACAAGAATGGTGGTGGTGGAGGCGGGGGGCAGTGGAGGAGCAGCAGCAGCAGCAGTGACAATGATGACAACAGAAACAACAATCAGAGAGAGAGCTTAAAAGATACAAAACTGTTATGCAGATTACATTTCTGGTTTGAAGTAAAATACCTTCTCAAGACTAGACCGAACCATCTCTGTGATGGGACTCTTCTTCTGGCGCTGACGTTCCACTTCCATCTGCATATGAGCCATCTCTTTAGCCTGTGCCAATGCCATCCGAGCTTCGGCCTGTAGCCGCGCCTGGCGAGCAAAGAAGTCTGCTTCTGTCATGGGTTGAGGAGACTCTGGCTCCCTGCGTAGGGGCAGAGTGAGTAATGAAGTTGAAGGTCGAGTAGCTGCCGGCAAAGGAGTGAGCTGCAGTGGCTGAAAGCATTGCAGTTTATCAGTACTATTTACCTGTGAAACTGAAAGCAGTAGAATTGGGTATGACAAAGAAAATAATCTTTGAAACCTTTGGTGGATAATTACATATGTGTAATCAATGCCTCCCTTTAGATTGTCTTTACCAAGCAAATTGGCTCAAGTGATAACCCTTCTGACTTCTATTCAAGAGTTGCTTGGTTAGAATCTGACTATCCTCAATAAAGTTCTTAATAGTTTTCCTCAGTCTCTCCAGGCAAACACCAAAATAATGCCTTAAAATTAGGGTAAAACAACTTCCTTCTAGCTGCTTTTCAATTAATTTATTTATTTATTCTTTAAATTCAATAAATCCTTTTTGGCCAAGCCTAAGATGTAGTACAAGTCACAATTAAATCAAAACATACACAAGAACAGTTCATAATATAGAACTCAAGTCACATACAGTACAGTCATAAAACGAATAAATAGTGACAATCAAACCACAAAAAAAAGTGGAAATTGTTCAAGTTAAAATCGATTGAATTACAACCCATAAAAGCCTACACAACACAACCATAACATATACATTTCACAAAATATCAATATTAAGGTATACTAAAAGTTCAATTAACAGATACAAATATAAATGTATAAATATAAAATATGATAATTACATATATCTTATGAGATAAAACAACTGAAGATGACATTATAGATATTGTTGGTCCCAGTATGGTTACTTATTAATATAGGCAATCAGCTGAACACCTTAAATCCAGTAAAATATACACCTGTTAGGTAGGATGACAGAAAAGACAAAGTTAAAGCAACATAACAAGTTATACATTAAAAACCTTATGAAAGGCATCAAGATTACCATCTCTGTCATCCTTGTATTGAAAATATTCATTTATAGAATAAAAAGGATGATGATACAAAACCTCTTCAATATCAATTTGAAACATTTCTCATCATTGGCCAAATTTTTTATTGATTGAGGAAGATGACTGAAAAC